CCTTTTACAAAATAGCAAAAGAACAGTACAGACAATACAGAGCTACAAACAAAGTGGTAGGAAATTAACAGTGCTTGTTGTATTACATACTGATATCTTCAAAGTGGTTTCTCATGAAAACAGATAGAGACATGCAATATTGATCAATCAAGGACTCATTGACAGTTTCTTTCAGCAACGAAATAGAAGACAGAAGAACAACCATGTTAACTATCCTGTATATACATACATACTAAATTTCTCCTTCTTTCTCTTCTCTTTTCCCACATCCCAATTGCCCTTTACCCTTGAGTGTTTTCCTATCATTTGTGATACTATTTTAAATGGAAGAAAAAATAAAATTTTGTGTTAATTTTTCAAAAGAAAATCTGGAAGCCTTGTGTATGTTACAGGATTTGTTTTCGTCTAGTTAAAAGAGCAAGTTCACTGATTAGAGAAAAGCTCTTAAAAATTGTAAGATCTCCATGCTCACCTAGAAACTGTTGCCTACAAGCTAATATGAGATTTCTCCTATAGATATCTGACTTAATCATGGGCGCTACAAGAGACCTAAGGCTGGAAGTGGCAACTCTTGAAGAAAAACTCCATGAATCCTACATCCGATACACTGAAGATTCCGAGTCAAAGAAAAAAGAAATTGAAAACCTTAAAAATGTAGTTGCAGAATTTCAATCTCGCCTGAAGAAGGAAATTAACAATAATGATTCAGTTTCCCAAGACTTGAGGAAGGAAATGAAACAGAAGTCAGATGAACTGGAAAGAGTAATGCTAGCACAGACACAACTGATACAGCAATTCAACCAGTCCCAGGAAGAGGTAAGAGGCCGACAATAGTACCTTCGCGATTCTTGTCACAGCGTATGTGCTTTCGAAAAACAGACAAGCACAAACATGAAAGACAGCGCAGTGTTGTGGAACGGGCCCTGGAGTTTTAGTCAGGGACCTGAGCGTGCATCCGGGCTCTTCACTAGGCAGTTTAACCTCTGTGGACTCGGCTTCCTTTGGTGTAAGATGAGGACAAGGAACTAAGTAAGCTCGAAGGTCTGCTCAGTGGCCAGTTCTGTGCTGCAGATAACTGCATAAAAGTCCTAAGACCCGGAGTATTTATATATTTATTATGTCTTATTTGTTCGAACAGTGAATCTTTGTTTAAAAAAACCTTAAGAGCATATGTTGAGTTAAAGAAATTAGATAACCTAAAAATATTTTTACTTGAGTGTTTTAAATTTCTGCCAACCTAAACTTATAAGATGATTTATATGCTTCAGTCTTATTTCTTATATGTGTGTGATTATTTCAGCAGTGTTTTTATTTGGACTGGAGTTAAATTATTTTTATATGAAAACTTTTTTCTAACAAAGTCTTATTTCTGAAACTGCTGAGCAGTTTAGAAATAGTGGGATAATTATTTTGTTCCCTGATCACCAACATTATGTTACACTATAATGTTTGACCCCATTTATGACAGCACAGCAAGTAGGCAGGTGGACAAAGATTCTAAATGCTACTTGAAAGTAGTATTTTTCTTGGTTTTATTGACATCTTAATAAATATCAAGAAAGTGCTAGCAGCAGTATCAGTTATTAATAATAAATAGACCACGTTCTTGCTATATTTAAATTACCAGCCATAGGGGCTGGGGATTTAGCTCAGTGGCAAAAGCGCCTGCCTGGCAGGCGCAAGGTCATGAGTTCGGTTCCTGGTACCGGAGAAAAACCAAAAAAAAAAAAAAAAAAAAAAAAAAAATAAATTACCAGCCATAAATATGAAGTGAACATCTTATAAGATAAAACACAGAATGGACAAGATACTAGGTAGAAAATAATGCCTAAGCCAGCTCTATAAATTTGAAATTATTTACATGTTACAGATGAGAAATTTATTGAAAAGGGTGGAATGATTTCTATAAGGTCATACAATTTGGCAAAGCCCAGGTTCAAATTTGACTTGCTCTTGTATAGTGTTTCCTCTTTCAGGAAACTTGTATTCTGGGGATTCTGCTTCTAGATTTCAAGGTGACCTCAAGCTTAATACACACTATCCATTGGCCTCAGTCCTGCATTCATTCGTTCTTTTAAAATGAAAAGCAAAACAAAAGCAGTAAACCACTCTTTAACTACTGCGAGTGGCAAGGAGTCAGGTGCCTGGGTCTCTCACGTGGGGACACAGCAGCACAGCCTTCCTAAGAAAGGGAGACACTTCCCAGGGGAGCACACACATAGACTCAGCTCCACTGCAGGGTAGCTCAGGAGAGAGGGGATGCTGGCTGCCATAAATGAGACAGCAGTGGTGAAGTTCTAGAGAAGAGACAGCAGGTTGAAGCAGAGAAAGGTCAAGGCTACTAGACTAGCAGGTCTGAATCCCAAAAGAAATGGCAATATAGAAAATGAGGAATAGTTTAACCAGGGCCAAGTAGAAAGCATAGACAAGGACTCACATTCATAAAGTCCATACTATCATGTATTTAGTAAGCAGGCCCTGTGCTAGGTAGGCACCATGAGGTAGTTATGAACAAAATGGATATCTACCGCTTCCTACCTTCAGAGAGAAACTTGAAGAAAACCTTGGATGAACAGTTAGATTAACCTAAATGTAAATTTATCATGTGAAAATCAGACTAAATGCTAGACAATTAGCCTTGAGAGCCAGGATTCATTACTTAATGCTACGTGACAGATTACCCTCAAATTCAGCAGCTTCAAATAACAAACACTTATCATCCCATCATTTGTGCTGGTCAGGAATCTAATGTGGTCTAGCTGGGTGCCTCTGGTTCAAGATCTCTCATGAGCTTGGTGTCAGGGTGTCCACAGGGCTCCAGTCTAATCTAGACGCTCAACCAGGAGCGGCTTGGCCTCTGGCTCATAAATGTGGTTGTTGGCAGGGTTTATTTTCTCACAGGTTTTGAACTGGGACCCTTGGGCTGTTGTAACCGAGTAGAAGAAATGGAACCCATTGCTTCTGCTGTATTCTATATATTCCGGTGGTTCAGTAAGTCCCACCCACACCCAAGGGGAAGTGAGCACACCATGCGTAAATACAAGAACAGCAGGGATCACTGGGTCCATTTTAAAGCCTGCTACACACAAAGCCTCTGAAGGTGATTTTAACAAGAAAAACTAGAATAAAAGTGAAGAGTGAATTTCTTTACCATACTAAAGGAGCTACATGTGGAGCTCATCCTACACATTAGTTGTGGAAGGAAGCCACTTACAAATGAAGTTTCATTAAAACACACGCACACACACACACACACACACACACACACATGCACACAGGCTTTTGAAAGATAGATGGTAGATTAGTATATGAGTTATCATGGATCATTACTGGAGAGGGAAAAGGATTATCCACAAAATAAAGAAAAACTAATTAAGGAAATTGGGGGCAATTTCCTTTTTCGTGAGGGGTGGTACACTCATTTTTCACTACAAATTACCAAAAATCGCCCCAAAGTTAAATAACTAGAATAGAAATATAAATAACTAAGGTTATTTCTCTAGCTGGGTTTGCCAGAGCCCAAGATATGCTTATAAAAATAGGAAATGAGCCAATAAAAGTGATAAAATTTGTAAACCATAAAGAATAGAAGCTATAAAGAGAAGCATGTAAAGTGAAAAGTGCTACTTTTTTTTTTTTGATCATGCATTCCAGACACTCAAAGTTTCTCAGATTCTGGGGAAATAAAAGCTGCAAGTAGAGAACAAATTTCCATTAGAATAAGGCAAATTAATGGTCAAATAAGAAAGCTAATTAACGGGAGGAAAATCTTATTCTCTTTCAAGAAGCCAAAGAGTGGGTGGAGTTTGTTTTTAATTGTATGAAGAAAGCTCTTGAGGGTAGAAGGAAAGCTAAGGCCTCTGAAGGGCACAACAGGCCTTCCTGAGTGGAGCAGGGATGATTGGAGCAACTATAGCAACACACAGCGGAGCAACATCAACGGTGCATGTCACCAAGAAGAGAAGAAATGGAAAACAAAATTGTGCTGGAAATGGAAATGTGAGGAGGAGCTCCTAAAAATTCTTACTGGGGAAAAGACACTGAAAAATGGGAGCATCGGAAAGAAAAGCAAATGAGAGGAGAAAGTTACTCTTAGAGAATAGCACATTATCATTAAAGCCAAATGAAGGTAGAGTGCATGCTTCCTGGCCCCGGTTTTCCCTCCTTCTAGTTGCACGCGGCCCCACTGTTAGGAGGTTTTCTGTGATCCACAGGAAGAATATGGGTACATTAAAATGAAAGCAAAAACAAAACCAAAAAACCCTCATGTGCAATCACCAAAAAGTACGGCAGAGTTTAACATTTTTGTTGTTCTAAAACCGTAGAGGAGGGGAGGGGCCAGAATTTTTAATTCTACAGTTTTTATACCCTCAAAAATAGAAAGTAATCCTCTCAGCTAAACATGGAGAACTGAATAGATATGCTTATCTTTACTTCATTTCTCTGCCATGCAAATGGCAATAAATTCATTTAAAAAGTGAAATCCATGAGGACAAAGTACACAACAGAGGAGCTGACGCTAGATGAAAAGATGTCAACAGTTTTGGAAAAAGCAAATGACTTAGCCAGCTATCGGATATTGAAACTAATGTGCATAGGACTGGGAAGTGTGAAGGAGTGCTCTTCTAACTAGAAGATTTTTAGTACTTACCTTTTAACTATGTATAATATGTCTTTAAATTTTAATTTTAAAATTAAAAGTAATGGAATGGAAAAAAGTATAAAAAGTACCTGGTAGAGAAGGTAACAGAAACCAGGATAAAATTCAGAGAAAGTTATAAGTAAAACAAATAAACAACAGAGCATGAACCTTAATGATATCTTTTTGTAAGATTATGAGAAATGTTAGAAATTAAGAAAGAACATCTTCTAGCTTAAATTTTAGCATATGCCTGGCACACTTCTAGTTATTCTTCAAGTCTGAGATACAAAGAAAGCTCTTCCATGAAGCTACAAAATCCCAGAGGCAAGTGTTTAAGCTTCTACTGAATGTGAATGTGTTCTTTCAGCAGGCATATAGGTTTTTATTGTCTTTATAAATGCAAAGAAGAAAAATCAAGTAGAGTAAAAAGGACATTTTCTGAAAGAGGAGCAGTGTATTAAATGGAGTGGTCAGAGGACTTTCTAAAGAAATCATATTCAAACAGACCTGCAGTGTGGGAAAGAACATCCTAGGCAAAGGAAGTAGCAAGTATCAAGGTCCTGCAGCTCGGAGAACTTTGGGGACCTTCAAGAAACCTGAAGAGGGTAGAGGTGCAGCTCACTGGTGGTATACTTGTCTACCAGGTACAAGACAATGCACTGGGTTTGATCCCCAGTACTGGAAAAAGAGAGACAAGAAGGAAAGAAAGAGGAGAGGAAACAAGAGGGAGAGAGGAGTAGGGGAAGAGGGAAGAAAATAAAGGAAAACAAAAGAAACCACGAGGAAGTCAGTGGTATTGCTCAAGCTTAGTAAACTCAGGACACTGAAAGAAAGCAAGGCTGCAGTGAGCGATTAAAAATGGCAGAATGGAGACCAACAGCAAAACACAGCTTCTTTGAGACCTGGAATTGAGACACCTCGAAAACATTGACTTAGCAAAGAAAAAAAGAATTAGAGCTCCAGGAACCAAGAAAGAACCAAAGAAACTACAGACAAGTTGGAGAAACTGAAGACAATGCAAAGCAAAGAAAAAGAAAAAAGAAGAGCCTGAACACTAACATCAGCTCTCAGGGAGGGGACATGTCTCCACTGACACAAGTATTGTAGTTCGTTGTCTCTCCGAGTGGTGCTGGAAGGCCAAGCCCCCAGAATGTTGGACACTAAGAAGACCCTC